TGATGTAGATAAGTCACAGAATGTCAGAGTTAGCTGTGACCTGAGTGATCACCTATGATGTAGATAAGTCACAGAATGTCAGGGCTAGCTGTGACCTGAGTGATCACCTAGGCCACCCTTCATTTTAGAGATGAGGAAGCTAAGGCCCAGAAAAGAGAAGTGTTCTACTCAACGTCACTCAGTGTGTTTGTGGCAGACTTAGGGTTCCTGTCTCCTTTCCCTGACATCCTGCAGCAGCTTATCTGGTCCATGTCCTTTGTAAGTTCCCAGAAAACAGGAACTGAGGACACATATAGTTCGCTAGTATCTATAACTCCTTGCAACTTGTCCCCATTAATGAGTAAAAGCCTTTTTATGATGATGAAACACTGAACAAGACTTCTCCCTCCTAATCTGTCTTTTCTGAGGCACTAGCTAACACTCAAAAAAACCCACAAAAACCCATTGCCATTGAATTGATTCCAACTTATAGTGACCCTATAAGACAGTAGAACTGCCCCGTAGGGTTTCTGAGGAGCAGCTGGTGGATTTCAACAGCCGACCTTTTGGTTAGCAGCCAAGTTCTTAACCAGTGTGCCACCAGGGCTCCAACACTTACTCAGTGCTGACTATATGCCGGAAGAGTTCTAAGCACTTTATGTTTACTTCTCTCCCATAACCAAATGAGATAGCTACTATTATCACAGTCCCCATTTTATAGATGAGAAAACTGAGGCACTCAGATGTTACATCACCTGCCTAAGATCACACAGGTAATTGGTGCTGGGACTCAAACCCAGGCAGTCTAGTTCCATAGTCCATGCTCTGGATTATACTATTACATTCTGGAAGGAGCAACCTGTTCAAGAAAGGGGAGTGAAGATACTGTACTAGCCAACTGACTTTTTTTTTCTGGTTGACTTTTTGACTACAAGTTCACCCTTCAGAGACTCTTCTCTCTCTCCCATCCTCTCTCTACATGTCCCATCTTCCCTGTAGGAACTTCTTAACCAACACATTATATATGTCATCTATCCCACCTCAATATCTGGGCCCCTGCCTCCGATCTTCCCCCTCCATCACCACCACGGCTTCGCTACCTATTCCCCTTTCAAAAAATAACCAGTTATCCAGTGGATAAACTCCAATTTGACTTTAATTTAATAAATTAATTTCCAAGCCATCACGCAGCAATGGAAGTCATCATCTCCCACATACAGAGGTGCAGCCTTGCTCTTGCTCCATCATCACAGTCTTTAAATAAAGCCCCTGAAGTCATCTCTCGGGGGAAGGCTTCCCACCAGGCTCCTGGCTCCTTCCTTCCAACAGAACCACTGCTCACAGAGAAGGTATCAAGTACAAAAACAGTAATAAAGGGGGAGGGAGGAACGAGGAGCAGAAGGGAAGTCAGGGAGGCGGGGAGTACCTGCCCCCCATCCCGGGCACCAACCCGGCTTTCTAGGAGCTGCCAATGTCCTCAGAGGCAGACACTGGTGCTGGTCTGAGTGGGGACCTGAGGGAGGTGTGGGAGCTCCATCCCAAAGGGAGTTGCCTACCCTTCTGGGATAGAAAAGAAGGGTCACCTGGGAGAGATGCCCTCTATCGTCTGTTCACTGAGGGTCCTGGGCCACACATATAAATAGAAAAGAGAATAAATAAGGGAGGAAGGATCAGCTGAGGAGCTGAGCACCCTGGGACTCCTCTGAGGGGCCAGTGTTAACAGGAGGCAAACAGCTCTGAGGAAGGCCCACATGTGCCAGAACACAGCCTTCCTTACTCCCAGCCACCAAGTCCTTCTCCTCTGTCCTCAGCAATGAGTGCCCACCTCTCACACACTTCCCATTGCAAGTACCCTTCCAACTGGCCCCACAGCCCAAGGTGGACAGGGCTTCCTGGAACCCAGAGGGCTTTCCTGGCTCGGGAATCCAGGGTGTGGTTTGGAAGGGGTTGTTGGGAATGGGCTGAGAAAACTCCTGCACTCTCCTAGCTCAGGAGGTGAGGAGGACCGTCAGAGCTGGGGGCTGGGGTTGCCATTAGCCTTGGATTTGGATTTGAAGGAAAAGCGCTTGATAAGGCGGCGAGAAAAACTGCCAGCCTTCTTTCGGACACTGGGTGTGGCCGCCGTGTTGGAGAGGTCATCGTGTGATTGGCTCAGACCAGCTTCCTTCTGTCGGGGCCTCCGGCGGAAGATGAGCTTAGTGCCACTGCGCAGGAAACTCACTGTAGGGAAGAAGGGAGGCTGAGGCAGCGAGAGGGGCATGACTGGGGTGGGGTGAGGTGGGGAGCAGAGACAGGATTGGGTGGAGGGATAGAAGATATGGAACAAAACCAGTCTCCTGGCCTAGAAGCCAGGCTTCTTCAGGAAAGAAAGAAACAAAACATGCTCTTCATCCTTCCTGAGGAAAAAAATGGTGGTGCTCATGGGAATTTGTGTGCACCTCTGAGTCCTCCCCCTGAGGATGAATGTCATGGGGCTGGCTGCTCTGTGAGAACAGACTGAGAGGACTGGGCCTCTGTAGTATGGAAAGCCAAAGGCGGAGCTGAGGGTGTTCCTAAAGCCTATAAAATCATGAAGGGAACAGGTGGGTTGACACTGACTTGTTTACCAAATTCCAGGATGTGAGTAAGAGGCACTGCTGTGGAAGCTTCAAAGAGGTAAATTCAGGACCAACATAATGCGGAAGGTGCTTGCACAGCAGCCTTTGGACTTAGGAATCTCATTATCCCAAGAAGTGATGCAGACTTACATCATAAATAGATTTGTGGTTGAAAGACTCAGTGGCAGAGGGATGAAGATGTCTTGGGGCAAGCAAGTTGGAAGTGCCACAGCTGTCCACAGACTGTCACTGCCAGAGGGGCAATCTTAGAGTTGACTTGGGGTAGGGTTTTTTACACTCATAGGGGAGAGGGTGCAGAGTGAAAGGGTGGGGGGAAAAAAAAAAAGAAGGAAGGAAAAGGAAGACAGGTGCTTAGACCCAGAAAAAAGGAAAAACTCAGGCAAAGGGGAATCATTTGGCATCCCCTCCTATCACCTAAGTCTGTCAGACCCAGGCCCTTCCTACTCTAGCTTGGCTGAACCACGCTGGGAACTCTGACAATCCCATAGGGGAGGAAGGAGAAGGCAAGTTGGCTTGTGGCACCCATGTCCCTAAGTGTCCAGTGGGACCTAGGTCATGATAACCAAAAAAACCAAACCAATTGCCATCAAGTCAATTCCAACCCATGGTGACCCCATGTGTGTCAGAGTAGAACTGTGCTTCATAGGGTTTTCAAGGCTGTGACCTCTCTGAAGTAGATAACCAGGCCTTTCTTCCAAGGTGCCTCTGGGTGGGTTCGAACTGCCAACCTTTTGGTTAGTAGTTAAGTGCTTAACTGTTTGCTCCAACCAGGGACTCCTAGGTCATGATACTGGACATAAAAAAGAGGCAAGAAGGGGGTCGTGCCAGTATCTCCCCACCTTTGTGGTCCTTGAGGCTGCGGGTCTCCAGGGCACCAGTAGACCCCGTTTCTGACTCAACATCATCCACAGATGGCCTCTCAGAAATGTCTGAACGTGTTGTCTCATCTGCTTCCTGAACACTTGTGGGACTGGAGAGGGCATCTAGGGGTCCTGGGGACATGGCTGGTGGGTCTGAGGGAGGTGAAGAGAGACCTCTGCTGCTCCCTGCGTCATCCTGCATTGAGGCTTCCAAGGATGCCGCATAGCCCAGAGATAGTGCCAACTCGTCCTGCGCAATGGGCACCTGGCAGGAGGGACAACTTTTAAGTGAGTGACCCATTAGGGCTTTCTCCCTACCCCATCTCCTCTCCCTAGAGCCCTGTTACCTTGGAAACACCAGAGATGATCAGAGTGCTACGTTTGGTGGGTGTCTTTTTGGCTGCCCGCCCACTAGGCTCAGTAAGCTGGCGAATTGCTGTCTCTGCTACAGGGTCCAAACCGTTGGAAAGGTGGCTCTCCCCTGCTGGGATACAGAGGATGGATAACCTGACTTCTAGTCTCCAATGCCTTCTTGGACTTGAACTCCTCCTGCCCCACCCAGTCGTTTTTAACTCTCGGGTCCCAGTACCAACCAACCCTCACACATACCCAACCCCCACTCACGGCTGCTGCTGTGGGAGGTACTGCTGGGGCCACTGCTCTCACTCAGCACAGATGTCGTCTTCTCAGTCACCTCCACCTTGGACGGGGAGCGGGAGGGGGAGTCTGGTGGGTCGGGGAGGGTCAGTGAGCTGGGAGGGACTTTAGAGTGGCCCCCACCCCATATTATCTTTGTTGAGATACAGTCTTTGGCTGACTCACAGGGCAGGAGACAGGTGACAAAGACGATGCCATGGGAGCCACTGAGAGTATGAGACAGACTAGGTCACGGGACACTGGGGACAAAAGGATACCATGGGAGCCACTGGGAGTGTGGGAAAGTGCCATGGGCCCCCTGAGGGTGTGAGGAGATGCTGTGAAAGTATTGAGTGTGCGAGGATTGTACAGGGGTCCACTGGATGTAGAGGAAATTCCCTGGAACCCCTGGAGATGGGTGAGATGTAATGGAGGGCCTCTGGGGTGGGAGAAATGCCACAGAGGCCACTGGGTTTGTTGGAGGATTCCACAAGGTGCTGGAGGGTTGAGGGTAGAGGGAGGGACAATTAGCCAGCTGGACTGGGGAAAGGGAAGAGACATGTGAAAAGACAGACAGGAATGTGGGGATATGGAAATGCAAGGCTATATGAGAAGCTAGCAGAGCCAGGATTGAAGGATGAGAGGAATGGTTGAAGAAATGGAGGATGTAAGGGAAAGTCTGAGAGTGACAAAGATAATGAGGCAGATGTGGTAAGCTCTGAATGGAACGTCAGAAAACAGGGTGGGCCAGAGTTAGAGTCTTCCTTCCCCTTCCCTGTCCTGCCATGGGTCTGCAGCCCAGGGCCCCTGGCTAGAGTTGGGCTCCCAGGTGCCTCCTCTTTACCTAATTTTCCATCTACACGGGGCCGGGACTGGACGGTGGTGACCGTGGTGACAATGGTGCCATCGGGCATGATGGTCCGGTCCAGCTCAATCTTCTTGGTGGGTGTGATGCTAGGGCGTGGAGTAGAAGGAGTGGGAGTGCCCAGGTTTCGGGGGGAGCCCTCCTCATACTGAAGCTGCCAAGGGTGGAAGAGCAAAGAGGCAGTGCCTCAGAGATGACCCTTCTCCAGTGTCCTCCACCATCTGCCATAGGTCAGCTTCTCACCTCTGCTGCCATGGTGGCTGCTGGTCCCAGGACTTTCCCTGGCCCTGGGGTGAGTGGGCACACCTGTCTTCGGGACAGTGGTCTGGAGGGGGAGCCCACAGGCAGTGTGGCCTGGCCCAGGAGTTCACCTGATAAAGGGGTGGCACTGTGAGCTGGGCCCATGCCCGGGCCCCAGCAGCACCCACCCAGAGGTGCTCCCTCCTGCCCCATACTCACTGTCTCCACAGCTGCTGCTCCTCAGCACTTTGAGGGTCAGCTCCTGGCTCTGGGGGCCCAGATCCCTGTGCACCAAGAGGAGATTGTGGTGGGTGGGGGGCGGGGACGAATATCAGCAAAGTGAACCCACCCTTGAGCTGGTCCCAGGCTAGAGGTAGAGACAGATGTACATAAAAAAGATGGTACAAGTGCTCCATCAGATTAATTCCTGCCTTCCTGATACTCCCACTTTCCAAGAAAATGGGACCTCACTCCTCATTCAAATCCTCCATGCCTTTCCAGCCTCTCTCCTAGTCTCAAACCACCCTCTTTCTTTGCTCAAGCTATTCCCTCTGCCAAAAATACTTTTCTCTCCACTCTAGAAATCCTACTCTTGCTCTAAGATGCAGTTTAAATGCCACCTCCTCCATGAAGCCCACTCTGATCTTTATTCCTCTATGGTACGGAATCTTCCCCACCTAAGTGCTCCACAGCACTTTGTGTCAACCTTGATTGGAGCACTTGTACCATCTTATTTATGTGTATCTGTCCTTGCCTGTGATCAACCCAAGGGTGGGGGTTGTGTCTTGGTCATGTCTATATCCTAGGACCCAGCCCAAGGTTTGATGGGTGCTGGGGTTGGGGGGTCACTCCTTACAGTGTCAGGTCCTCTGTCCACTCCACCTCAGCGCCAGCCCTCACAGGCTTAGTCCACTTCTGTTGCATGGGGTTGTCAAGCTCAGCTACACAGCACAGTTCCCCACTACCTGTGAGGAGCCAGAAATTAGAAGATGCCAGATCAAAGGTGGAAAGTCGCTGAGGAATAGAGAGAATGGTCCCTTGGCAGAGGGGCAGGAAGCACCTGCTACCACAGCCCCAGAAGTCCCCCAGCCCCTTCTAGCTCTCACCTCCTAGCTCACTTCCCAAGTTAGATGCTCGAAGCTGCCGTAGGAATAACCGAGTAGGTCTAGGGATGGCTGGCTGGGCCTGGGGCACTAGGGGTGGCTTCTCACTGGGTGCCTAAGAGCAGAAGGAAGTAAAAAGAGCAAAAACCCTGACACAGTCACTGGGGACAGGATGAAAACCATCTGCTTTGGGTGCCTACTCACCAGGCTTCCAGGGGCAGAGCAGGCCCTGAGGTTGACCATCATGGCTGGCTGGGTGCTGACTATGGCATCCTTGATCAGTTCCTGAATAGTGGAGAGCTCTACTTGCTCCTCACCTCTCTGCAGGGAAGAGGAGAACAAGCGGTGGGGCCCCCAGCTTGGCCTCACGCTCCTGCTCTGCCTCGCCCTCCCTGTTCTGCCTTTTCTCCCCCAGCCCTGACCCCTTACCTCCCTGGCCTGCAGCTTGGGAAGCACTGTCAGGCTGAGATCTGGGTGATCAGTGAAGGCCCAGGATACCAGCAGCCCCTCATCAGGGATTTCCTCCAGGCTGACTTCCAACTATAGGTAAGGAACAAAGGGATTGGTTTTTTTGTTCTACTCCTCCAACTACTCCCAACTCCCCAGGACCCTCCCTTCCCACATTCCATCCCTGAGAGGAACCACATTGCAAAAGCTGAGACAACTGATCCCCCCCAGCCCCACCCAACTCTGTTCCCACGTCCCCCTCCACCTGTGTTGGTGGCAGTGTCAGAGTGACGTGGTAGGTCTCCATGGAGACAGCAGCGGGGGACTGCTGGGTCACAGAGACTGGGAACCACACCTCCTCAGCAGAGAGCTGGCAATGCAGTACCTGAAACAGGCAAGACAGGGTCAGGCATGGTAAAAAGGTCCTGCTCTGCCCTACCCTCTAACGGTTCAGCAGACCCTTCCCCACTATGGTTTTCCTTGGAACTTCACCTTTTTGAGGTCACACACCCCTAAAAGAACCAAGTAAAAGCCAAAGACTCCTCATCCCAGAAAACTGTGGCTATGCACACACATACAACATCTTGCACATAACTTCAGAGGCATTCCCAGACCTTCTGAAGCCAATCCTTGGATCCCCAAGGCGTTCATAAACTCCAGGTTGAGAACCCCAGACTTAAGGAAACCTTTGGGATCAGCCCCTCTCAGGCCCCAAAGAGGGCAGTGCCCATCAGACCCTTACCATGGTACGCTCTGATTGGTCTATGCAGGTCACATGACTAATGCTGGCTCTGGGTGGGAGTTGGGGCACTTCCTCAAAGGTGATTTGGATGGAACTCTGCGGGAGAAATGCAGGCACAGGATCAGGTCTCCCGAACTGCCCCCCACAGGGCTGGCCTGTTCAGTTGCTGGCTAGACCCTGGCACTGCGGAGGCCTCAGCTGCAGGCTGGTTTCTGGCCCCTCCTTGGCTGAGGCCTTTAGGACAGGAGGTGCTCCCCTCAAACTCTGCCTCCCCAGGGACCCGCAGCTGCTAGGATCACCGAGGACTCGGAACTAGACCACCTCAGAGATCAGGTCACCTTCAGCAAAAGACCCTGGATTCCTCCTGGAATTCCAGGAGTCTCCCTCCTCTTCCCTCCACCCTTACCACCAAAAGAAGCTGTCTATAAAACCCGTTGCCATCAAGTCAATTCCTACTCATAGTGACCCTACAGGACAGAGTAGAACTGCCCCATAGGGTTTCCAAGAAGCGCCTGGTGGATTTGAACTGCCAACCTTTTGGTTAGCAGCTGTAGCTCTTAACCACTACACCACCAGGGTTACCAAGTTGTCTATAGAAGAAAAAATATATATACCCATATATATCTTGGTTGCCTCCTATACATAAGAGCTGCAGAGAGGTGGGACAGTTAAGGATGAAAGCAGTAGGGCCAATTATTGTAGGATAAGAGCTAAAGACATGAGGCTAAGCCTTCTTCCAGATAAATGACATGTGGAACACTGAATATCTGGAAGCTCAAGAGTGTGACTCTAACCATATTTTTGGATCTTCAGGACTAGCTCAGCACATCCTTGGGGAACTTGACTAGAGGAGCTGGAAAGAAAAGCAAGCTCAGAGGTGCTCAGAGGGCTCAAGGGCCTGGTTAATTCCTCCAAGCAGACAGCAGGGTAGTATTAGGGAGCAGAAAGCTGCTTAGCTCAGCCCTTGAAAGAGCTGCTTCCTAATGCTTCCACAGCAGAGGTGGGACAACTTACTGCAGCACTGTCTAGAGAGGAGAATGGAAAGAATTGAAGAAGGGACCCAGACTGAGCTGGAAGCTCTTTCTTGGATCTTGGGAGTGGAGGAAACAGATCTCATTTGCCTGGCAAACCAGGAGCAGCCAACTTCTCTGCTCCTGTAGCTGTCCTGTTCAATGGCCAGGCTCAGGGAGATGGGGAAATGGATACTTGGAGCCTCAATTTCCCCACTTCCTACAGAGGAGGCCAATGTCCAGCTGAGTCAGCTGTCCTGGGGAGTTGCTCCTGACCCAGGGACAAGGTGCAGGCAGAGCTGGGTGGAGGGGTGGATTCAAGGTGTAGATTGACAGCTGCCATCTGACCTTCAGCTGGTCAGCTGACCAGAGGAGATAAAGAAATTTTATGTGGCCACTTCTACTCCCAGGAATCTGGGGATCTAGTAGGATATGAAGCCTCTGGACTAGTGGGGGATGGAAAAGGAGAACCCTCTGAGCAAGGGGCTGATGGACTATGATGGCAATGAGAGATTGCTGGGCCAGGATGGGAGGGGGCCCCAGATAAGGGAGGCCTCTACCTCCCACCCCACCTCAGTCTCATGACCAGGACCCTGCTTCCTGCCCCACTTCCTGGGAGACCAGATGCCCATGGTGCAATGGGAGGAAGTAGGCTGGGCTGGTTTGTGACTGACCCTCAAGGGGCAGTGCCAGGCTCATCTACTGCGAGGCACACGGATTGTCAATTTGGTCTCCACTTGAACACCTTCCCCCACAACAAATATACCACAGGCCAGCCAGGGAGGGGGTAAGGAGGTAATTCAGGCTCCCTGGGGATCTGTTTGGCCATAGCAAGGATTTGGGGCATGAACTGTTAACTGGGAGTGGTGGCATGAGGACCAGGCAAATTCCTTCTGCAGGTGCACCTGCCCCCACCCCCAACCCAACCAGCAGCACCCAGGCTAGGTGGAAGCGCCATCAGGCATAGGGATTAGCGTTGCTATGAGAACAACAACTTGTGAACAGGTTTGGAGCCCAGAGAGTACCTTAACCACAGGAATAGAAGATCTGGAACATAGCGGGATTTGTACAACACCCCCCCATCCGCCGCCCTAGACTCACCCGCACCCTTTTCTCTGATCCCGGAGGGGAAAAGGAGTCATGGGGTTCCCCAGTTGATCCCCGCTCCTATCCAGCCCTCTTAGCACAGGCAGTCCCTCGACTGGAAGCAAAGGCCGAAGGGTCCACCTCAGTGATCTTTCCAACTCACCCCGTCCCTGCAGGCCTGCTCGTTCAGGGCTCTCACCCAAGCCCGCTGCCAGTTCTCCCGGAAAGACTTGAAGGCGAAGAGCGACGCCAGGAGGCCCCGGACGCCTGGCTCCTCAGGGGCGCCAGCTCGAGTCGCCCGCAACCTCAGCAGCGAGCGCCACACGCCGAGCTCCCGCGGGGAGCCCGCGGGCTCGGCGGCTAAGGAGGCCCCCAGGCCCTGGCCCCCGCCGGCCCGCGCCCGCCACAAGCCCCGGGCGTACTGCAGCAGCCAGCCTGCCACCGTGAGCAGCGAGGCGGCAAAGAGGATCAGCAGGGCCGCCCAGCCCACGTCCCGCTGCCCCCAGCCCGGATCCATGCTCCGCGCGGGCTCAGGTCCCGGTCCCGGCTCCAGCTCGGGCTCAGCCTCTGCCCCGGGGGAGCATGGCCCGGGCGGGCCGCGGGGCGGGGGCGGGCTCCCCCGGGGCTGGACGTGCGGGCTTGGGGGCGCTCCGGCGTTAAGTGCCGGCGACTAGTGGGTACCACGAATCGAAGGGAAGAGATGCTGAGGGGTCGCAATGCCGAAGTCTGTCTCTCTCTCTCCCCCCGCAGGCGGAGTCCCTCCTCCGTCTGTCCCGCAGTCCGACCCGGGTTAGTTGCCGGCCAGCGCCTGACTCCTCCCACAGCGCGGGTCCCCCAGAACCCGGGCGGGGACTCCTCTGCAGAGACGCGGAGGCTCGCCGGCGGACATCGGCTGGGAGAGGGCTGCTTGCGCAGAGCTGACACTGACAACACCGCCGGCCGCCCCGCCCCCATCCGGCCTTAAAGGAACCGCACCCGCGCGGGGCGGGGCTTGGCGAGCCGGGGATTCAAAATCTCAGAAGAGGGCGGGGGAACGAGGCAGGAGGGGAGGAAGTTCCGGGGTGGGAAATAAGTGGTAACTTTGGCCGCCCCAGCCCGGTTATTCCCATTCTGGAACCGGGGTATCCCGCTCACTCGAGCCCACCGCCAAGAGTGGGCAAGCATAGCTTCATTTACCTGAACTGCCGCCCCTGCTTTCCTCTACCCTCCTTAGATTTCTAGAGGTGACTCTTGTGGACGGCACCGCCCCATTCTCCCAACACCCCCTCGCTCAGCAAGCGCTTGGTGACCATTTTCTGGCTGAAGCTAGGCTCTTGATAAGGAGATGCAGAGCATCCCTCCCAGATAGAAGTGCCTGGCAGAGATCTAGCAGATACCGATCAGAGAGGAGGCGGAACCTGAACCTGGTAGAGGTTGAGTCTACCAAACCAAAACCAAACCCAATGCCATCGAGTCGACTCCAACTCACAGTGACCCTATAAAACAGGGTACAAACCCCACAGGGTTTCCAAATCTTTACGGAAGCAGACTACCACATCTTTCTCCCCGCAGAGCGTCTAGTGGGTTCGAACTGCCGACCTTTAGGTTTGCAGTCGAGCGCTTTAACCACTGCGCCACCAAAGCTCGGTTGAGTCTAAAACATGGAATATGGAACTCCCTCCACCACCATACCCTCTCTTGGAGCTAGGACCCAGGAACACCCTTATTAACCTCCCTGCTAGTGTGGGTTTGTTCTGGAGCTATTTCTCAAGCCCAGGGCTGCTTCTGTTTTTAAAAATAATATATTTCCATAGTAACAGCTCCTGCCTATGGAACACGTGTAGAGGGGGTGGTAATGATGGGGGAGCTGGCAATGTAGCATAGGACTATCAATAGATTGGACCACAAGACCCTGCCATCCAAATATGAAAAATCACAACTAGCACCCAAGGAATGGTGCAGGTACACCCTGCCCTACCTCTGGCCTCAGGATCCAGCCCCTTTTGTAGATTTCAGGGAGTGGATTTAGTGACTGGGGCTGATCACTGGTTTCTGGAGGCAAGGAGAGGAAAAAACTACCAAAGGATTCAAAGGAATCCCCATTCCCCCAAAGCCTCTTCCACATACACATGGGAAGGTCTTGGGCACACAGTCCTTTTATTTGAGAGGTAGGCAGAACCTGTCAGATCAGCAGTAGGGTGCCTGAGCCAACGGGAGTGGTGTGGGTTACTTTGCATCTCCCTCGGTTTCACTGTAAGGAAGGATGAAGGGATGATAGGGTAACCTTGCTGTAGTCATACTCATACATCATCCCTGTGCTCCAGAAACAATAGAGATTCCCAGAATCTGGGTTTCTAATCTCACAGGGAAGAGGGGGCAGGAAATCAAGAGAGGAGAGAACTAGGGGGCAGGAAATCAAGAGAGGAGAGAACTAGGGGCCAGAACCCAGAGACCAGGGAGAAACCGTCAGTGAGCAAAGCAACTAGGGCTGGGGTAGGTAGCAGGTTCTGCTGGAAGTTTTTCAGGTGCACAGTTTTTACTGTGAAGACCTCTTCCTCCAAGAACCATTCTCCAACTCTCACGACCTCCCAGGGATCTCAGTTCTCTGAGCTCTTGGAATTATTCCCTCAACTCCTCCACTAGGCATTTATGTACCTGTCCTATGCCGCCAGATACAGCTTCACAATTAAGTCTTCATCAGCCTCCCTCAACAGTCCTCCCAATCTTCCTTCCACAAGCTACTTAGACTTCTAGCACTTACGTCATTCTGCTTTATGGTCTAGCTAGTTGTTTGTATGTCTGATTTTTCTGCATATTAGTAAATTGCTTAAGAGTGGTGCCTGTCTTACTTATCTTTCTCCCTCACATTCAACCAAGGTGCTTTAAATATGCTGAAGTAGATGTCTTGGGGGAAGCAACAGCATTTCTATCACTTGGTGTCCGCCACTGTACTTAAGTTTCTCATGCACATAGTGGAGTCCCTGGGTAGCACAAACTGAAAGGCTGGCGGCTCAAACCCACCCAGAGGCACCTTGGAAGAAAGGCCTGGGGATCTGATTCCAAAAGGTCACAGCCTTGAAAACCCTGTGGAGTGCAGTTCTACTTTGCACACATGGGGTTGCCATGAGGTAGAATCAACTCAATGGCCACTGGTTTGGTTTTTTTGGATGCACATAGTAGGGATTAGCAAATTCTTTGTACTTTTAAGAAGTCTGACAAAATATTCCAATATACATGTAAACACTGAGAATTTCTATATTGCAGTCATCTTTTGAAAAATCACTCATGTCACCCGCTGGAATGGGGGCTTTTGGGGCTTGCTTTCAGCTAAGAACTTTTCATAGACTGATGGTGGAGGGGTGAGAAGAAAAGGATAAAGAGTTATTCAGCTGCATGGACAGGGCCACAGATGTGGTCCTGCAAGTGTCACAGCCCCAAACCACCCAGAGCCATCTCACAGTCTTTTCAGGCTGTGTAAACCATTTTTGGGACAGACTTTGTCTGGCAATCAGACTTAATAGTGGATTGGCCTTCCTCATTGGGAGGCACTCGGGGCCACTTAGGAGGAAAGGTGCATCTAAGACATTGTCTCCTCAGCCCAAGTGGCCAGCCAGAGCCATTGACAACTCAGCTGATCTGTGATGTGAGTCCTAGTGCCAGCTTCAGCATTCAGGCAAATGCTTTGAACTATTACCAGGAAAAGCATAAAAATTCAAGTGAAATCAATAGTCAGTTGTTTTGTTTTCTCCCTCTGATTAGTCTGATAATCAACTGGGTATTTACCATCATGGGAACAAAAATATTCAGATTATATCCAAGTAACCATGTTCTGATGGTAACATGTATATGTGGATGATGAATCCCTAGAGTCTTGTTTTTGAACAAATCCTCTCACCCTCTTCCTGGGGATGGGGGTGGAGTGGATCGTGCTAATGGTCTCCAAAGAAGGGAGAAAAAGCTTCTCAATGCTAGGCTGGGAAGAAAGATTTATTAGGACTGGCCTCCTAATGAAAAACAAAATAAATACAGACTGTCCCTCAGATCTCCAGGGAGTTTCAGCCTGCTCCTGATCAACAAGATAACTGAATGTACAGGTCATCTCAAGAGAGGCAAAAGCTGTTGCCTCCTCTAGGGACCCCACTAGCTTCTCCTTCCCACCTGCTCCTGGTGTCTCACTTTCCCCCAGTTTGGAAGGCTCTTCCACTCTTACCACCTGATGAAATCTTTCAGCTGTTACTCTTCCTCAAGGCCCGCTTGCTGCCTCCTATCACAATTAATCACTACCTCCACATGCACCAAATGCTCTCTGTACCTCTTTCACAGACTGAGGTTCATTATGAATAAGGATGTCTTGTATACAGATATCTGCCTGTCCTGAGCCCCGTGGGGACACCCTGTGGAACAGAAAATACTTGCCTCCAGGGATTTCCAGTCTAAGAGGCACAGACACACACACACTCACAGAAAAACATCTTCAGGAAAATAATGACTGAAAATTTGGTGGAATATTATTAAGTAAATTGCTGGCATTACCTACATGTGTGTATGTATGTGTGTATAACCCCAATTGCCATCGAGCCAATTCCGACTCATGGTGATCCCATGCGTGTCAGAGTAGAACTGCACTCTACGGGTTTTTCAGTAGCTGATTTTTTAGAAATAGATCACCAGGCCTTTCTTCTCAGGCATCTCTGAGTCAACTCAAACTGCCAATCCTTTGGTTAGCAGCCAAGCACTGTAACTGTTTGCACCACCCAGGAACTCCATGTATATAAGATTGTTGTTGGGTACCATCCAGTCAATTCAGACTCATAGCGACCCCATGTGACTGCCCCATAGAGTTTTCTTGGCTGTAATCTTTACCGAAGCAGATCACCAGATCTTTCTCCTGTGGAGCCTCTGGGTGGGTTCAAACAGCCAACCTTTTGGTCCAGCAGACAAGCTGGACCACAGTGCCAACAGGGCTCCCCTTATAATATATATAATTATTTTTATTTATAAAATGAATAACTGTGTGATATACATGTTTACATATTATATATTCATGTATAATAAATTAGTCATTTATTGTTCACTATTATTGTATCTTATATATTTTTAAAATTAGAGCGACCATCAAGTAGAAGCGACATTTCACACCTGGCTTTGAGGGAAAGGAGGGACTATCTTCGGCCTAAAGAAAGTCAACTTGCCCCTGACTCCGGGAGCACACCATATTGGGAAGAATGGACAAGATACCAGGATATTTGTGACCACACTCTAAATCTCTGGTGGTGATTTCCTTTCTGAGGAACAGAAATCATTTGCCACCTAAGAGCTTGCGACAGAATGAAAGGGAATGAAGATGCTGGTGAACTGTTACTTGTAGGGAAACAGGTGCCAAGCAAATAGTAAACAGAAGGAAGAAACCTGACTGGGAGTTCCTCAGGCTCATGAGAAGCCACGTGTGGTTTTGGTTCTCCTGACTCCTGAGCTCTTTAGAACGCTTCAGCCTACACCTTCTCGGTGTGGGAGCGTGGCACAATGCAGTGATCCAGGACCAACGAACATCAGGTACCAGGTTAAAACCAACACCCGAGGGCACTCTCAACCTCTACGGTGGTGAAGTGACTTGCTGGGTTGCCCGGCAACTAACTGCTACTGCGGGGGCAGAAGGTTGGTGGGATGATGAGGAAAAAACTACTTGGATCCAGGACAAGAACAACATGGGATGGGAGGGGTTTTCAAGAGTCTACGCTTTAGAATTTACATCATCCTTCCAAATTGTAGCTCCGTTTCCAGGAACTGTGTTGCGTTTACCTTGGCTTCTGACTACATTGGCAACAGGTTTTCTACAAGGAGCAGGCGCTGCTCCACTTCCTTCCTCGCCCCTCCTGCCCACCTACTACTTTCCAGTAGCTATCTTCCCGGCTTCAGAGGCCCCCTAGATTACGTACAGGGTACTGGTCCTTTAAACGTGACCTGCGGAGGCCGACCGAGCTAAACTGACGTGGACCCGGCTAAAAAGCGGTGTCAGACACGTGGTACAAGGAAGCATTCATCTTGAAACTGGGCAAGAAGTTTTTCCGCTCCACGCTGCACGCTTTATAATATGATGTTAAGAAAATATTAGCTTGTGTGTCTCATTTTTAAATTGCTTTTCCAATACTTTCGTGCTGACTCAACTCCCAAACGAAAGATCTAGTTAAAAATAACCGCTGTCCCCACTCTTATGCCCATATTAAAAATGGCTGCCACCGCCTTCCCCAGCGATAGTTGCTCTGCGGAAAAGGTCCGGGCGGAAACAGTGGGTAATCAGATGGAGCAACGAAGAGCCAAGGTTACTTTATATAGGCTCGTGGGAATCCCGCGGGCGGCTCCAGTCAGAGTTGTAGGGTTTTGCTCAGGCTGGTGTGGAAAGACCCAGCGTGTGGGAAGTGGACAGTCCTTACTGTTGAGGCCTCAAGTCTTCTGTAGAGCTTGCCTGTTAGCTGAGGAGGTGGCGGAAGGGCTCCCTGGCGGGTCACCATGTGGGCCTTCCCGGAGTTGCCGCTGCCGCTACTGGTGAACTTAATCGGCTCGCTGCTGGGATTCGTGGCCACGCTCACCCTCATTCCGGCCTTCCGTGGCCACTTCATCGCCGCCCGCCTTTGTGGCCTGGACCTCAACAAATCCCGCCGGCAGCAGATGTGAGGGGCAGCACATGGGTCCTGGGCAGGGAACAAGGGCTGGGGAAGGGGTGGACAGGACACGGGCGGGGACCGAGCGTTGACCCAGACAACCCAGGACTCTGGGAAGTGAAGGACAAATGATTAGCATTGGGGAAGAAGTGGGTGGGGGACCCTCGGATGTATCAGGGACTTCAGCAGTGGTGCCCTCCATCCCAAATGAAATGTGGGAAGGAAAAAACAATTCGGGTTACTGGAATACCTGCGCTAGTGAGTGACCACGCCCCCTTTCCTCCCCTCCTCCCCCCCGTACCCCCTCCCGCTTGTTGCTGGGCCACAGCCCAGAATCTCAGGGAGTGATCAGCGGTGCTGTTTTCCTTATCATCCTCTTCTGCTTCATCCCTTTCCCTTTCCTGAACTGCTTTGTTGAGGAGGAGCAGTGTAAGACCTTCCCCCACCATGAAGTAAGTGGGTTAGTGGGGGCTGTTGCCTATGGTTGGGGGCTGGGAGGTATCGGAGAGAGTTGGATTATTTGGGCTTTCGGGGAGGGGCTGAGGAACTAGAAGACAGGAATTCTTGAAAGGAGAGGTGGAGTGGGAGTAAGCTTGATACGGGACCTGCCCGAGCCTCCCCCAGTTTGTGGCCCTGATAGGTGCCCTCCTTGCCATCTGCTGCATGATCTTCCTGGGCTTTGCGGATGATGTACTGAATCTACGCTGGCGCCATAAGCTGCTACTGCCTACAGCTGCCTCACTACCACTCCTCATGGTCTATTTCACCAACTTTGGCAACACGACCATTGTGGTACCCAAGCCATTCCGCCCAATTCTTGGCCTGCACCTGGATTTGGGTGAGTAGCCCTACCACTACTGTCCCTATAAACCAAAACTCATTATTCTCCTCCAACATCCCTGTTCTGTCCCTGTGTCTTCTCAGATCCTTTCCAATGACCTTTCATCCTGTCTTCTGTCCTCACCATTTCTCTCAGAAGAATATCCATAAGGCCTCTTTCCACGCTGTCTTTTCTTCCCTAGGGATCCTGTACTATGTCTACATGGGGCTGCTGGCAGTGTTCTGTACCAATGCCATCAATATCCTAGCAGGAATTAATGGGCTAGAGGCTGGCCAGTCGCTAGTCATTTCTGCTTCTATCATTGTCTTCAACCTCGTGGAGCTGAATGGTAGGTAGGATTGGGGGTAGGGAGACAGAGAAGTCTGAGTGTTATATGGCTTTGGGGGATTCAGAAAGAAACAATATGTGAGCCATTACAGAAGATAACAGAAGCTATTTACTTTGAAAAGAATAACTAGTATTTATTAAATATGAGAAAGAAAAATAGCAGCCCTGTCATCTATAGCTAAATTGGCAATAATAGCTAGGCCATGATGTTCTCCTATTGAACATAAATAATTTCACAGAATCCCAGCATCAGACAAGGTCACTCTGTGACCATGATGGAGCAAGACAAAAAACAGACCCCTCCATAATCATACCAGAGCACCATCAAAACCATAAGAACAGTGCGCAAACCACAAAAATGACCAAACCTCCTGGCTAACAGAAGTGACTGTTGCTTCTTTCCAGTAACAATTCAGTTCCCTCCCATCTCTTAGATAAAAATTCTTAAGATATTCAATTATAGAATTACTCCTGCTTTCTGACAGCACCTCGTCCAGAGCAGAACAGCTTCATTTCATCCTCTTCAAAATGACTCAAAACAAATCCTATACTCAGAGAAGAAACTAGTCTACAGGACCAACAGTCTATATGAACCATGGCCTCATCTACCCTGAGACCAGAAGAACTAGATGGTGCCTGGCTACCACTAATAGCCAATCTGATGAGGGCCACAGTAGATGGATCCTGACAGAAGGGGAGAAAAATGTGGAATAGAACTCAGATTCTTAAAAAGTCCAGACTTACTGGATCGATTGAGACTAGAGGACTCCCTGAGACTAGTGCCGTGAGATATTCCATAAACCTGGAACCAAAACTACCCCGAGTTCGCCTTTAGCTAACTAACAGATTGGCTCCTAAAATAAGGACTATTACCAGTGAGTACTGTGCACCTTTGAAAAATCATCTATATGAGATCAAATGGTCAACAGTTAAAGCAAAGGGGACAGGGAAACCAGATTACTGGAAACAAAACATCCAGAATGGAATTAATGAGAATGTGACACATTGTGAAAAATGTAACCAATGTTACTGTATAATTTGTGTAGTAATTATTAAATAGGAACCTAATTTGCTATGTAAGCTTTCAACAAAAACACAATAAAATATTATTAAAACAAAACAAATTCTATAACAAATCCCTCCTAACAACCTCTTACTGAGGTGTCCCATGGTTCTCCATGGTGTGTGATTTCAGCAGTCTCCCTTGTTGCAACAAGTTAATAAACCCAACTTTGATTATAGGTATTTCTGTTGGTGTATGGTTGATGGACATCAGCATATGCTTATTAACACTAAGCACTTTTTAAACATTATCTCATTTAAACCTCATAATAGCTCCATGTGGCCGGTGTTCTCATCAGCCCTATTTTACAGATGAGAAAACTGAGGCTTAGGGAAGTTAAATGTGTCATGATCAAAGGTCAGATAGCTAGGAAGTAAAAATTGGCATTCAAACCTAGGTTTGAATGGCCTAAACCAAATCTAAGACAGTGACTAGGAAGGCTTCATGAAAGAGTTGAGGTATCAAGAATTGCCTGGGTGACATAGAGGGGTCATGAGTGAGTCCTTGAAATTGATTTGGGAGAGGTGGACAATAAAGCTTGGGATAGAATTTAGAGGCAGACAAAAATAGGACCAAAGTATACAAAAGAAGTGGCTACTTAACTTTCCCTTTCTTCCTTTTTCCCCCTGCTCCCAAAGGTGAATATCGGGATGATCATATCTTTTCCCTGTACTTCATGATACCCTTTTTTTTCACCACCCTCGGACTGCTCTACCATAACTGGTAAGTAGTAGGCCTGAGGATAGGGGAACAACTATCTGAACATGTGACAAGTTGGACCTATTCATGACCTACCTCCTGATGGAGAGGCTACTTGTGCATACTTGTGTTGAGTGTTTTCTGTGTCCTCGACTGGTAGTATTGTGAAATTGCTCTCTATCTAGCAGTAGTTGGGGGCAGGTGCTGTCGAGCCCCAGGAATAGATAAATTCAGGGCCTTGGGTCCTGCAGAGTTGCTGGGAGAACTGGAATCTCCTCTGGAGTCTTATCTGAGTCAGAACTGGGCTAGCCCAGTGCCCAGGGTGTGAGGTGTGAGAAAAAGGGTTGATAACACCCAGGGGTGGATTACCCAGTAAGCAAGGTATAGCACAGACTTGCTTGTGCTTACTTACTAATCTGTAGTGCACAATTTAACATGAGTTTCACCACATCTTGATGTGAAATTGTGCACTACAAATTAGTAAGCATAAGTAAGCCCATATGTACCTTGCTTACTGGTTAATCTGCCCCTGGGTGTTATCAATGCTTTTTCTCACACCTCATACCCTGAGCACTGGGCTAGCATTAGTAATGCCTCTTGCCACTGGTTCAGAGTCTTTCCCCCACACAGGTACCCATCACGGGTGTTTGTGGGCGATACCTTCTGTTACTTTGCCGGCATGACCTTTGCCGTGGTGGGCATCTTGGGACACTTCAGCAAGACCATGCTACTCTTCTTCATGCCCCAGGTGTTCAACTTCCTCTACTCACTGCCTCAGCTCCTGCATATCATCCCCTGCCCTCGCCACCGTATGCCCAGGTAGCCACTTTGGGTACCAGGGTAGGAAAGGGTAGGCATTGAAGCTTGGAAGGAACATCATAGCCTTTTCACTTGGGATGTCCAAAGCCAGCCTTATACACATGCTGTGCAAAGGGAATGGGCCAAAGAAGGACTAACTTTCCACGTGGGTAGCCCTTTTTAATTTACAAAGCACATTTACTTACATGATCTCATTAATGCTCACAGCAGCTCTGATCACACAGTAGTAAGCAGCAGAGCCTTAAATAGATCTCAGGTTGTTTGACTCCACATTCAGGGCTCTTCCTATTAATTAACCACAGGAAGGAGAGTTCTTCGAGTAGTGGCCCAGTCACATAAAGCTCTCTTCCCCCTGCAGACTTAATACCAAGACAGGCAAACTGGAGATGAGCTATTCCAAGTTCAAGACCAAGAGCCTTTCTTTCTTGGGCACCTTTATTCTAAAGGTAACAGGGTAACAAGGAGGTAAGGCCCTTGGCAGCCATCCTGAAATCAGGGAGTGGGGACCCTAGGCCTGCATCATATCCAAGGGTAATTTGGAAGCATTAGGCAAGTCCTCATTCCCGAAGCACAAGTATTAGCTGAGCTTCCCTTCACCTCTGGCCCCTCCAGGTAGCAGAGAGCCTTCGCTTAGTGACAGTGCACCAGAGTGAGAGTGAGGACGGTACGTTCACCGAGTGTAACAATTTGACCCTCATCAACTTGCTGCTGAAAGTCTTTGGGCCCATGCATGAGCGAAATCTCACGTTACTCTTGCTGCTGCTGCAGGTGAGGTTGGGGATGGGGTCTATACCTTCTTATCTTACTTTTTCCATGGTTCTTACTCTAGTCCATTTCTCCTTGCAGATCCTGGGCAGTGCTGTCACCTTCTCCATTCGGTACCAGCTTGTCCGACTCTTCTATGATGTCTGAGTCCCCAGATCATTGCCCTCTCTCTATCTGCAGTCTCTAGGGTTCCTGACTCAGGACGAGCTCTTGCTGGACCAAGGCTGCCTCCCAACCCAGGCCTCTCCCACCCTTCATTCTCCTCCATGTTTGTTCTCAGCATTTCCTTTCCCCTGTGACCATTGACATGCTGGGCCGTTCTTGCCCTCTAATGACTGTTGATTGAGGTTTGCCTGTGGCTTTCTTCAGCTTGCCACTCTCCCTCTCCATCCTGTCTTTGCAGCCTCTTGAGGTGGGATACAGCAGCTTTTATGCAATTATCCACAGCTCAACTTTCAGAGTCCTGACTCCCAAGAAAAATGATGGGCCTTGGGATAGAACCTGCGCTGGGGATAGGGACACAGCCATGAAGGTGACTTGACATTTAATTATAAATTAAGTCTTCTGATTAGTTAGAGCAGACTGGGGGGGCTAGGTGCTCCCAATGGTGACAATAAAGTGATATGTTTTTGTTATTCCTATAGGTATATTTCTTATATGGGCATTTTAGAGTAGGATGGGAGTTTTGGTGGGGGCATCTCCTTAATAGGACGCGTATCTCTTTGCCTCATCCTTTTTCTTTCAGTACACCAGTCCCCTTCTAGCGAGAAGTGAACAGAAAGACCTGAGACCAAACAGAACATGTTGAATAAATATTGAGATCCTAATACTTCAGGTGCTAATACTTGAGGGCCTTAAGACTGGAGTTACCTGTTTTCTAGCATGGGGTCTCATTTCTTCCCTTTTTCATTCTCCCTTTGCCAGATAGGAGGAGGGAGTGGGGAGTGACCAGACCTGGGAGGGGAGACAGAGGTAGTTGCAGTGTTGACCCTTTTCCTTTAAAAATCCTAGGCCAGCCCAGATTTCCCAGAGGCTCTTTGGGAAGCTTCAAGCTCCACCCCTTTTGTTATCCGCTTCTGTACTCCGGCCTTAGCGTTTAAATCTCGCGCGCTTCACATGCGTTGGCTGCATCACGAGGTGGTTGGGCGTCTGCAAGCCACCGCTTCTTGCCTTTTTACCCGGGCAAAAGGTTTTCAAATTCGACCAATCAGGTGGCGCTCTTCCTCTGCCGAGGCGCGTCACTGGGGGGTTAACAGCAACCAACCAGAGGCGGGTATTAGAAAAAAGGGCCAATCAAGAGGGCACGGGGGGGTGGTTATAAAGGCGGCCCCTCGGCCCGCGCGGCAGCAGTTGACTGCGGCGAGAATCAGTTTTGCGGTCGTTTGAGGTGTTCTTCAACGATCAACTTACCTCGCTCAGCATGTCCGGGCGCGGCAAGACCGGCGGCAAGGCCCGTGCCAAGGCCAAGTCGCGCTCATCGCGCGCCGGCCTCCAGTTTCCAGTGGGCCGGGTGCACCGGCTGCTGCGAAAGGGCCATTACGCGGAGCGCGTCGGCGCCGGCGCTCCGGTGTACCTGGCCGCGGTGCTCGAGTACTTGACTGCCGAGATCCTGGAGCTGGCGGGCAACGCGGCCCGCGACAACAAGAAGACGCGGATCATCCCCCGCCACCTGCAGCTCGCCATCCGCAACGACGAAGAGCTCAACAAGCTGCTGGGCGGCGTGACGATCGCTCAAGGAGGCGTCCTGCCCAACATCCAGGCCGTGCTGCTGCCCAAGAAGACCAGCGCCACCGTGGGGCCTAAGGCGCCTGCGGGCGGCAAGAAGACCACGCAGGCCTCTCAGGAGTACTGAGGGGCGCCCGCGCCGTATCGGGGCGTGCCGGCCCTCCCCGTGCCACCACAAAGGCCCTTTTAAGGGCCACCACAGCCCTCACGGAAAGAGCTGAGCCACGTCTGGCCCCAGGACAGGCGGCCCCGGCCCTCCGCTTCCACTCCCGTCGCCCAGGCCCCGCGCCCCGCCGGCCTCCTTCCCCTCCCCCACGCGCCCGCTTCCCGCCTCTGGAGCCTCAGGGGTGCAGGCCCTCGTCTCTCTTATCCACGGGGAGGAGGGACAGCCTGGCTGCCCTTGCGAGAGGCCCGCGGCTGTTGGGACATGGCTTCTGGGTCCGCGCGGCCCTGCTTTGGCGTCGCTCTGAAGCGGCCACCTTGGCGCACTGTGCCGGAGACGGAGCGGGGGGCCGGCACCTGCCCTCCGTGCTCGTGACTCATCAGCCCTCTCGGCGGCTGCAGGAGGCCGCAACGCCGGGCCTCTGATGTGTGTGAGGTGCGTGGCCAGAGGCCGGCGGCCCTGCGGCCTGAAGGTGAGTCGGTGCGGAACAGCCAGCCCGGCCCCCCAGCAGCGGCAGCCTGACCCTCTGTTACTTTTCCAGCTTGGTGCTCAGCCCAGGATCTTTGATTTCCAGGCTTTGGCAGGAGAGAAATCGATCCTTAATTTGCTCTGGTGCCGCCTTCGCTGCGAATTCATGGGGCTTTCACATCAGATCCCCTCCATCTTTATTCACAGGCCTGTCTGGCGGGCCAGGGCAAATCCCGTCGTAACGTGACCATCTTTTCTCCAGAGGTGACTGCCTCCCGTTTGGGTTCACAGCTGGCGGCGTGGCCAGCACGAGTTGTGTATGTGCCTAACACTGGCAGCCAGGCCTGCCCACTCCACCACCCTGACTTCCCTCCCAGCAACTCAACTCAGCAATCCAAACACCTACTAGATACCAGCAAGTCAGTTAAAGCCTGTCTGAACTGAGCCTCTGTTGGCTTCTGAACTGGAATTTTGCAGATAACCCATCCAAGACTAGTACCTTAGGTATTGGGGAGTTTCAGATGGACTAATTTTGTTTATTAAATGATTGGTTTTTTTTTAAAAAAAAAAAATGAAGTGTCTTTGTTTTCATTTTGTAAAAGAGTTGTAAGATTGATGAGTGTAAAAATCTCCTGAGGTACCGTAGGGGAGTATAGTATGAGGCTCGACTGTTAACTGAAGAATGGGCAAGTCATAGGATTTGAAATGAGAACTATTGAGGCAGAGACAGAAACGATGTTCCAGGAAAACTGGATAGAGGTCCTAGCCTCTGAAGCAAGGAATAAAGGGTTTTGTTTGTCCATTTACCTACTTAATGATTCATATCTCTCCCCCAACTCCACCAAAAACAAACAAAACCTTCAGAGCTGGTTTATTAGAGCTGGTTACATTCAAAGGCTGTGGCTTGGACTTCTCTAAAAGAGATGAAGTCCCCACCTACTGAAAAGGCCAAGCAAAGTCACCAAGGCCCCAAGGCAAGGCAGGCCCCCCAGGAGTCTCAGACTGCAGTTTAATCTCCTGGGTAATCACTCCCCAGTTAGCAGTGAGAATGGGGCACTGAGCTGGAACACGGGCACTAGACAAGTGCAACCCAGGAGTGCCCAACAGACCAGTTAGTGGGCATCATTAAGCTGCCGTGCAACGTCCAGGATGTTCTTGGCTCCTTTGTTCAGCAACAAGCTGGCCAGGCTGATACCCAGGTTCTCAGCAGCCAGCTGGGCTCTTCGTGGAACGTTCAGGGCAGTGATGCCTACCAGCTGTGGATCATCCTCAGGGCCATCCTCATACTGGATGAGGGAAGGAGTGGGATTTGGTGAGAATGAAGAGATCATAGGCAGAGTCTCTTGTTAATTACTCCCCTCCCTTTCCCTCCAGGCTTGGTACCTGGGCTGGGATATGGACATTGGCCTGCATGGTCTCTTGCATGCTATCTGAGCCATCCAGACTCCATACTCCTCCAGTTAGGTACAGCTGGGAAAGAAAACGGGTACTTCAGCATATTCTGAGCGGGGGCTGCTTAGAAACATGGGCTTTTCAGGCTAACAGCTCAGGATGTACAGGTAGAAATGCCACAATCCTTCCCTGCCCTCCCACCCAGCTTTCTCTGCTTACTTGTCCATCCTTCACAGCTGTATGTACTGCTACTGGCACACTGCAGCCTCCTTCCTGCAATGAGATGTTCTTGTGACCTCCAAGGGCCCTTACCACCCTGTGACCACAGACCTCAGAGACACACACACCTCTGAGGGGACCCAGATCTGAGTCCTCTCCATACATAACCTCCAACCAGAATGAGTTACCACTACATACCAAAAACCAAAACCAAACCTGATGCTGTCGAGTCGATTCTGACTCATAGCGACTGTACAAGACAGAGTAGAAATGCCCCATAGGGTTTCCAAGGAGCGGCTGGTGGATTCAAACTGCCAACCTTTTGGTTAGCAGCCATAGCTCTTAACCACTACGGACCAGGGCTCCTACCACTACATACAGACATTAATTTGAGAAATCTCCCCACTACCTTCCCAGCTCCCTCAGTGCCCAGCGCTCCACAAGTGGAACACAGGTCCTACCAGGTGCCTCAGGAAGGCCCGTTCAGCAATACAGCGGAGCAGAGTCTCAGGATCATGCAACACACCCACGAGGTCCAGGATGTCCTGGTCCTTGGATCGCACTTCGATGCCCAGGGCCCCCTGGTTAAAAAACAGCCTAGGACATCAGGCCCTATCTTTCCCCAATCAGTGGAGCTAAGGATGGAAATTATCCATCTTCCCCTGTTCCCCAGGAACTTTCGGGCCAGTGGCCTCCCCAGGCCTACCCCTCCCTGGGGATGTTTATTCTGGGGGAAGCAGATGCAGAAGGTTGTGAGACTAGCTTCTTGGCTGAGAAAGGGAAGGGCACGTCAATATTCTGGCTTCCCCGGTCAGGCATACCTGACCCACAGCATACATGCATTCCTCAGGGTGCAGGATCTGTGGCGGCAGAAAAGGCAGTCAGGAGGGGAGAAGGCGCAGTAAGATGGGGTTTCCCTATCACATAAGAAAACTGGGTAGGTGAAAGTAGGAGTCTGGCCTTTGATGCCCAACCTTCCCCACCTGGGACTTGTTTTCCAGCTAGTGTTAGAAGTAGGGTATTCAAGGTAACTGTTGCTGTCGAGCCGATTCCGACTCACACGACCCTATAGGACCAGAGTAGAACTGCCCCATAGGGCTTCCAAGGAGTGGCTGGTGGATTCAAATTGCCAACCTTTTGGTTAGCAGTCATACGCTTAACCACTGGGCCACCAGGGCTCCCAAGAGGAGAATAGGGCAGGAAAAAAGATGAAGACTAACTGGGGAGAGGAGGGGGCAGCCCCTACCTGTCCCACCCGGTTCTGCCAACCCATGCGCTGTAGGCCGGCTGCGGCTAGGATGATGGCACTGAACTCCTGCTGCTCATCCAGCTTCCGAAGCCGGGTGTTGAGGTTTCCCCGCTGTGGAGGCGATGCTAAGGACCACAAGTGTTGGGCAGTCTAGCGCCTCCATGCTGTTCCCTCGGCCTGGAACAGTGTTTCCGTCTCTATCTGGCTAACTTTCAGTTCTCAGCTTAATAATAACAACTAACACATCACACCTACTACATGTCAGATGCTGTTCTAAAGTGCTTTATATATATCAACTTACTTAATTTTCACAACCTATGAAGTAGGGATTATTATTATCCTCATTTTATATATGATGAAAATGAGATACAGAAAGGTTAAAGAACTTGCTCAAGGTTACAAGACCTGAGAAGCCTTTCCTGGCCCCCAAGCCTGTGTTTAAATGTTCCTGCTAGAGACTTTTAGACCATTCCCAACTTCTCCCATTGTAGCATTTAGTACACAGTTTTTACAAAACACACTGCATATTCACCATAAAAATAAAAACAATAGTGGCATATAAAATAAAAATGGAGGCATCCTCTATCCCCTCCCAGTATATTCAGTATCACTGTGTATTATCAATCCCTGTTTGTCTGTCTCCCTAACTAAAATGTAAACTATGTAAGCAGGGACAATGTTATCTTGCTCACCATGATCCTCAGTGCCAGGCACTTGCCTGGAGCTAAGAAAACATTAAAGGATTGTGAATGTTTGGATTGGTGGATGGAAATACAGACAGCCAGCTTCTCCAGGGTTCTCTTACTCTAAAGCCCCTTCCACTCTCAGGATTCCCAGGGCCCTGTGGGCCTTGTCTTCCTCCTTGGCTGCTGCCCCTCCCTCCTCTAAAAGGATACAATACTCCTGAACTCCAGATGCGGGAACTTTCGCTGCAGCTGGGCCGCTCTCCGCAGGGAGCTAGTTCCCACCACGCTGCTCAGAGAGAGTTTAAAACGAGAGTCAACACTAGGCAGGCACTCTTCCTTTCCTCTTCCTCCCATCCCTCTGTCTTCTGTGAACATCCCACCAAGGTGCCTCTCCAGGCCCCACTCACCTCCTCTCCGGCAAGGTTTCTAGGGTCTTCCCAACAAATTTTGGATGAAAGACAACAGCATCATAGGGGCTCTCCCGCCTGGGGGTGGAGGGAAAGTCACAGAATAAGAGATTTCAGTTCAAGAACAACCTCAATTCTCTCTCAACAGCCAACTAACTGGAACCCCTCAGTGCACAAATGGTTACGCGCTCAACTACTAGCCGAAAGGGTGGTGGTTTAAACCCACCCAGAGGCACTTTGGAAAAAAGGCCCGGCAATCTGCTTCCACAGGTCACAGCTTGAAAACCCTATAGAGCACAGTTCTACTCTAACACACATGGGGTCGCCATGAGTTCGAATCTACTCTACAGCAACTAATTAGCATTTTCTGAGTCTTCTGCTACGCTCAAAACCCCAGAGCAAGGAAGAACAGCCCTAGAGGCAGAAGACCAAGCCCCAAAGAGAAAATGGAAGGTTAACATGATGCCCACCCGGTGCCCAGGCCCCCTCACTTGCAGGACTCTTACTTGCAGACAGCTCCAATGGTAAAGCCAGGAGGAAGCATGGTGGGCAAGTCCTTCAGGGAGTGAACAACCAGGTCCACTCTAGAGAGATGGGTGAGAGAGGCAAGGAGAGAGAGTCTGAGCAGCAGGCCCCCACTCCTCCTCTACTTACTCCTGCCTCTACTTCATTGGTGGAGCTGAGGGAAGTTCAGGAAGCAGGTCTTGCCAAGACCTCAGGCCCCTGAGACTTCCCTCTCACCCCCCAGCCCCTCACTAGCCTTGCACTTCAGGTAGCCAGATGGCTCCTCTTCTAAAGCCTGAAAAAAACTCCACCTATGAGCCCCCTCCAGCCTATCCGAGAACTGAAGCCCAGAAGCAGCTGATATCCAGGTCTGTAGAGCACTGGCTTCCCAGCAAGATTCTGGGAGGGCGCCAGGCTCTCTGTCTCTCACTTACTCGTTCTTCTCCAGTGCATGTTCCAGCTCCTTGGTAAACAAGCTCTTCTCCCCAATCTGCCGGGCAAGAATGAGCCTCACAGTGAATGTCTTGGAGAAAGGAAAGACATGAGGGGGAGGACAAGGACTGAGGGAAGATGTTGTTACCTTAGAGAGTGCAGTATCAAGAATCTTGTCCCCAGTGGTGGACATGGCAACTGAGGAGAGAGTCAATAATCAGTCGCTCATCAATCGGTATCTGCGGAGCCCCCTCTGGGCCCAGTACAGTGCTAAGATTCATGGTGGGTACGGAAGCCCCAACCCTGCCCTCGGGAATTGTGATCTAGCAGGGAAGAACAGACACACTTATAAAAAGACCCAAAGCAGAAAATGTTAACTGCCAGGCTGGCGCAGGTAGCTAGAGCTGGAGGTGTTCAGAGGAGGAAGAGCCCCCCCAATTAGGGGCAGCCAAAAAGGATTCTCAGAGGCAGTGGGGCCAGGCTTTCACAGAACTCACTGATTTCAAACTGCAGGCCAGGATATAATGTTTTCAGCGTTGTCACCACACTGTCTGTCTGTATACGAGCCAGCTGGAGGCAGAGATTCGGATTAGTCCTGCCCTCCCCGGACCCCTCCCCCAAGTTCAGACCCTCATAGGGTCAGGGAGATTCTGAAGGGATCAGACTTCAGACAGGGGCTGAGTGCCCACCTGGGAGGGGGAGGAGGTCTGAGCTGGGAGTCCTCTGCAGGCCGACAACCTCCCCAGCCCAGGGACCCCCTCCACAGAATGCACCTGCCATTCCACGTGGGACTTGACGCAGTTTATCTTCTCCAGCCACCCCATTTCCTTCATCCTGGAGCTGCTGGGAACTAACCCTCTGGGCCCCTCAACTTGTGATACCACGGGCACCAGGATTCTTGTGAAAAACTCCCTCACCCCTGCGCCTGCACTCACCTGGCTCTTACGGGTACCTACACGAATCACTCTCATCTTTGGGCTGTTTTCTTCCTGCAAAAAAGTCCCCAGGTCATAGTTCCTTCTGTTCCTCATGTTCCTCAACACCTTGTCCCAGAACCAGAATCACTGGCTTGGAAGAAAGGAACCTCAGCCCCTGGTCTGTGGCCAGCTAAGCCTCAGAGTGGAGAAATATTCTAAGACTCGTCCCTTTCCCCTCCTCTGTACCTTCTTCCCTGCTCAGGAAGCCAGAGATGCAGGGACCGGAGGGAAGTGACAACAGGACCTGCTGCTGTTGCAGTAACCAGGACACTGAGCCATGAAGCCCATGCCAGACAAGGCAGTTCTCAGTGGGAGTGCTGTACATAGACAGGTGGGAATACAGATAACTCCCATCAGCCTGGCCACAAGGAGGGTGGGGCCTGCAGTGGGCAGGGGCAAGGCGGCTGGGGCTACACAGGGGAGCTTGTGCTGAGTCACTGAAGGACAGGCTAAGCGGCCCCAACACAGCAGGCACCCAGATGCCCAGGGCTACCATAGCTGCTACACTAGGGGTACCTCAATCTGGCTGGAAGGCACACATAAAGGACTGGTGGCACAAATGGTTAATGTTCTTAGCTGCTAACCAAAAGGTTGGTGGTTCGAGTCTACCCAGAGGCGCCTCAAAAGAAGGGCCTTGAGATCTACTTCCGAAAAACTAGCCATTGAAAACTCTATGCAGTACAGTTCTCCTCTGACACACATGGGATCGCTATGAGTCGGAATTGACTCAGCAGCAACCGGGTTTTGTTTTTTTTTTCTTCAACAGATCTAATGTACATTCTTATTCAGTCTCTTGGCTGGGTGACCTTGGGCACATCATCCCGTCTGGATCTGTGTGTTCTTCTGTAAAATGAAGAGGTTTGGTTGGACTCAAATTAATGCTTCTGATGTTCTCTAAGTCTGAGAGGCTGAGCTGCCTAACATCTATTCCTCTAGAGTGCTGCCTCTGTTTTCACCAATCAGGAAATACTGAAACATCGCATTTCACCAACAAATACTGAGCCCCAGCCAAGAACTCCAAGAACTCAAAGGAACACGCCTCTTTCCCTGCCAGGACACCTTGGGCAAAGGTGTCCAGTGCCAAGCAGGTAGAACTCGGTTCTACAGTCCAAGTCATAGGTCCCATTTCTTTCTAGATCGGACCGAAGCCACTGTAGATACTGTCAACTTTCCCTGGGGTCTTTATCCTATGGAGTTCTTTTGCAGCCAGGCATTTGGGGCCTCAGTTGCTGGAGAAGGTAACAGCTTGCTGCTTTCAGATTCTAGTGCGCTCCATCACAGTCACTCCTCCAATAATCAGCCCTGGGAGACCTGAACAAATTAGGCTAGGCTTGAAATGCCAAACATAGCCACTAAAATTCTGGGCTACAGGGAGCCCACAGAAAGGAATCTAAGGTCCTAGCACTGCTAGGTTCAAACAATCCCTTTTACTCATTGAATCTGCACCTCATATTCTAGTCAAACTGCTCCATTAAGAAGTATTTATTGAGCATTTGTTGTTTTTAATTAATCTTCAAAGGAATCCTAAACCTCAGGGCAGGCGTCTCTGGGGCCATTCATTTTACAGAAGCACAGGTTGACTCTGAGGGGTGCAGAGATTTGCCCAGGGTCACAAAGCTAACACTGGCAGAGGGTTGAAGCTAGAATGCAGGTCTTCCTACTCCTAGTCCAGTGCTCTGAAACGTCCACAACAGCAACAATGCCACTACCCCCCAGCAGGCTGGAGGGAGAGATGAGCAGCTGCCCCACCTCTTTCTTATCCCAGGCTGGCAGTGGCCTCCACAGGCTCTGCAGTTTAGATCTGCACAAGCCCAGAGCTCAAAGGCCAGCTGGGAGGCCCCAAGGGTGCCCCCCCTCACGGTAGTAACCCAATGGTGTGCCACAACGAGGGGGCTCTGAGGGGAGGCTTGGGCTAAAAACAAAACTAGTTGCCAGAGTCGATTTGGAGTCAAAACGACCCCATGTGTGTCACAGGTGAATTGTGTTCCGGTTGGGTTTTCAATGGCTATGACCAGTCAGACGTAGATCGCCGGGCCTTTCTTCCGAGGCACCTCTGGGTGGACTCGAACTGCCAATGTCAGCAGCCTAGAGCTTACTAGGTGACCAGTAAAACGTAAAGGCGGGAGAACGGTAGGGCGCACTTCTAAGATGTTTGTGTGCAGTAAGGAGACTTGGGAGTATGCTCTCCTTTCCGAATCCAGAGTGAACATCTTCCTAGGATTATTCATACCGCCCCGGCCCTGTCTACTGTGGAAGGAACACGGAGAATAGCATCCCGTCGTATACAGACGAACGTTCCCAGGCTGGGTCACTAAACTTAGAGCCCTGGATCCCAGACACGGCAGGAATCCCACCCAGACCCCGGCAGGAATCCGGGCTCGCTCCTAGACTATCTCTACAGCTCTTAATCCCGCCCCTACCGCTTTCTGATTCCTTCTCCTTCGTAAGGAAAACTCAGCTACTGGCCCTTTAAAAACTATTCGGATTTTAAAAAAGTGACGGACAGCCGTCCCAACCAATAGACGACTGAGAATGGCAATCCGGGGCCAATCATTGCACCGCTGGTCCGGAAGACAGACCGAAGTTGTAAGGGTCACTAGTTTAGGACTCACCGTCGTTTCAGCCGCGTCACCATTACCAGACATGGCTGTGCTTGGGAAGTAGGCCGGTGGGTCTCATTAAGGTCTTCTCGGGATCTAGGGAAGCCAGAGGCTCCGGCTGGCCAGTACTGGGGGCACGTGGGCCCAAGCTCTTCCAGCAGCCCCAGCCTCCCAGATCTGCACAGGGTCCTGTGTCACTTCCGGCGCCCTCCTCTTAGGGGAGGTACTTTTCTCTGGGCGGGAATCAATATGATTGCGATTGACCTTTGCTTTACCTGCCAGTTACCTCCCTGCTACATACACAAGGCTGACGCGGAGTGTTGGTTCGCGTTTGCTTCCCAGTCATCCTGCTTTGAGATCTAAACCTACCACCCATTTCTGAGCCAGGAATACTGATGGTCAGTGGCTAAGACATGTTTCCCACAGATTCATCCACGAAGTAAACCGTCTGCAGTTCCTTCCAACCACCACTCAAGGAGATAATCAATTAAGCCAAAGTTGGCAGTGCCCAAGAGGATGCATTAACCCTAAAATTCTGGGTTAGAAGTGAATTAAACACAGTACGACCTCACATACAAAATAAACAAATATACAAAAATCAAAGATTCTTGGTGGTTATCAAGGATGGGGGTAGGGAGAGTTTATGTTAATGGTGGTGGAATGATATTGAAAAGGACAGTGAGAATGGTTGCATAGCTTGAGGAAGAATGTACTCAATGTCACAGAATTGTACATGTAGAATTTAAGATGGTGTACATTTTGTTTTGCGTATTTTCACAATACAATTTAAAGAGAGGAAAAAGCCCGTGAATTATCACCGTGCCCCCTAAGCTGGACTCATCATTTACAAATATAGGGCTGCTCCACCAGAAAGCTGACCAGTTGCTGTAGATTCTGACTCATGGCGACCACATGTGTGACGAGAACTATGCTCCACAGAGCTTTCAATGGCTGATTTTTTCACAAGTAGATCACCAGGCCTTTCTTCTGAGGGGCCTCTGGGTGGACTCAAGCCTCCAACATTTCAGTTAGCCAGCAAGCGCATTAAACATCTGCACCTCCAGATGTTTAATGGACTCCTCCAGAAAGCTCATTGTTGTCCAGAATTCTACAGCTTTCTCTCCCTAGCTGTGGCATCAGCAATTAACTGCTGCTTTTGTGACGCTTCTCTTGCTTTGTTCAAACATAGCAAGCAAACTACAGCCCTGAAGTAGGCAACATTTCTATTTTAAAAATGAGGAAACCTGTTCAGAAATTAAATGTCATGCCAAATAAATACCTATGAAGTGGCAGTGCCAAGATCATATTATTGTTACCAGGAAATGTACCTGTTAGAAGTGCTTTTTCCATTAATGTTAATAACCATCTATTGAGTCCACTCCCCCCAATGTGCTAACCACTGTACGAAGAACTAGACACCCATTAGCTCCTTAGATCTTCACAAGAGCCTTACAGGTAGGTATTATAACCCCTAATGTACAGATGAAGAAACTGAGGTTCAGAGCAGGTAAGAATTTTGCCTGAAGTCAAACAGCAGCACCAGAATTCAAACAGGTCAGCTGACTCCGTTTGTACTCTTAAGATATTACAAACTGCCTCTTCTAAATACGACCAAAACTACAATGTCCAAGTTACTTCCTTCAATTAAATTGATCCCATAGGAGCAATCGTCTGACAGGTAGTCTAACCCAAATTACACACAGAAACCCAGCGACACAAACTTCAGCTGACAACTTCAAAGACGGAAACGTGTTTCAATAAAGGATCTTTTGCCCTGTTTGTATCTGGTTATCAAATACAAAGACACTAACCTACCCAACATGAAGGCAGGCTTAAGCCCAAGACTCCCTACCAAAATCTGCCTGTTGCTTGGATACTTTGCCCAAGCAAGAGCCATAGAGACAGCGAGACAAAAGAGCAAGAGCTATTTGGGGTGCCTCATTCCAGGCTACTTTTGGAGCTTGTCATGGATTGAATTGTGTCCCCCAAAAAATGTGTGTAGCAACTTGGCTAGGTCATGATTCCCAGTATTGTATGATAGTGTAATCTGATGTGATTTCTTTATGTGTTGTAAACTCTATCACTATGATGAGGTTATATGTGATCTCCTTATGTGTTGTAAATTCTATCACTGTGATGAGGTTATACTGATGAGGTTTACAAGACTAGATAGTGTCTTAATCCAATCTCTTTTGAGATATAAAAAAGAGAAGCAAGCAGAGACACACAGGAACCTCATACCACCAAGAAAGCAGTGCCGGGAGCAGAGCGCGTCCTTTGGACCTGAGGTTCCTGCGCAGAGAAGCTCCCAGACCAAGGGAAGATTGATGACATGGACCTTCCTCCAGAGCTGACAGAGAAAGTGTTCCCTTGGAGCTGACACCCTGAATTTGGACTTGTAGCCTACTGGACTGTTGAGAGAATAAACTCTTTGCTAAATCCATCCACTTGTGGTATTTCTGTTAGAGCAGCACTAGATGACTAAGACAGAGCTTAATCATTACATCTTTTGCGAAGGTTCTTCGGTAAACTGAGCTGTTCTAGGATGCCACAGCCCCCACCCATTACAGGAATGAAGTTGAGTCCACATGATCTTCAAAGAAGGGAAGTGAGACTTATTTCCACTTCTTCTATGGGAAGGGAAGTGGAACTCTAGGAGAACGGGGAAGGAAGCACACTATGAACGGTTAAGAATCACCATGAAGTCCACAGAATAAATCCTTGAAACCCCAAATCATTATATTCTTTTATTTATAGACTGTGGGAGCAAGGACCCAAGCACAGCCGGGTGTTCTAGGATGGAGAATAAAGCAACTATTGTCCATACTCAGAGGGTGCTGAGGTGCCCTCCCCCACTGGTCTGAAATGACCTACACTGCTCAAAACAGTCAAGACGAGCCACGGGAAGGAGGCAGGAAAATCAAGTCCCCCCATTAGTGCTGAGGCTATGGCATCAGATCAGAGTGACGTTCTGGGCACATCTGCCTGCCTCCTGCGCAACAGCTGAGTCTCCGTCCTCGTGTCCACACTGCTGTGCCTCCACCATTGCACCTGTTCCCACGAGCTGCTTAAGTGCCCCTCCTGGAGTGCATGAGCAGGTCTCGCTGCAGCCCAGCCTCCAGGCTTGGGGGCAGTCTGGCCGTGGGAGGGTCTGTCAGCAGAGTTAATTTGTTGAAAACGCCTCTGCCAAAGTAGTCGGCAATCACAGAGAAGCTGTCGTTGGAGCACTTGAGCTGCAGGGGAAGAGGCGGGAAGAAGAAAGAATCAAGAAGAACTGAGGTGTTCATTTCCTAAACGCCCCCATCCACCCCACAAACCTGAGAGGAGGAAAGGAAACTAGCCCTCTGGTGCTCCCGAAGGGAATTCTGGGACACTGGTGGAAGTCCTCTGCCCCATTTATCCCCACCTGGTGCTGGAACTGGTCATGGAGATCACGTTTCTGTTCCTGGGCTCGGATCATGTCCATGACCTTCCGGTTTTCAGGGAGGCAGGTGGGACAGTCGGCATCACTTTCCGAGTAACTCTCAAAGCAGTGCTGGTGGAAGGAGTGGCCACACAGGAAGTGGACTGAGGGCAACTCCAAGGCACTGTTACAGATGCTGCACTTGGTCTTCTGGAAAATCTTTGGACTACAGGCAAGGGAGACAGGCAATGAGTGGCCAACAGTGAGGGCAGGGCCAAGAGCCAAGTGGAGGGACAAGGCAGCTGGAGTCACCGAGGACAGGGCCCCACTAAGGAACCACGGGCTCTGTCCATCTTACCACTCAAAGGGACCTGGAGTCTCAGCCTGCTCACAGCAAGTCCACGTAACCCAGGGGGATATTTCGGTTTCTCTTTCAATTTTCTCAATTGCCATTAAATTGTCTCTCAGGTCTTTTACTCAGATTTGATCCTTTCAGTGGGGCCTTTCCTGGGCTTTTTTTGGTAAATCATAATATAGACATGCACTCCTCATCCCGTTTCCCAATTAATTTTCTTCTTAGAACTTACCACCACCAAAGATACTATGTATTTTACTTAACGTGTTTATTGTCTGTCTCCCCCTCTGCAATGTAAGCTCCAAGAAAGAAAGGCTTTTTGTCTGTGTTGTTCAGAACAGTGTTTAGGGCATAAGAGAGACTAAGTAAATATTTGTGGAATGAAGAAATTGTTCCTCACATTTCAACAATACTGTCTGTGGAAAGTATGTAATAACACCTGTGAAGAATGAGGTTATCCCAAGGGCCCCTCCACAGATCCAGACACCAAGTACCTGGCCTTGAGCTCCTGGATCTCCTGACGGATGCGGGTGGTCTCCTCTCGGTACCGCCACACACAGAGCTCGTCCTGCGCAATCTGCTGGCTCTGTTTCTGCAGTTTTTGGACCAGGTAGTCCCTGATGATGGACAGGGTGGCTGTGGAGTTGTGGGCCAGGGTCTGCACCACTGAAATTAGGGTCCGGGAGGAAATGACACAATGAGCCAACAGCACCCTCAGACAGAGCTGAGGGGCCCCTGCCCCAGAGCCTCTGATTGTCAGCAGCCTGCCACCCACTCATCTTGTCCTCCCAAGTACCTAGCAGGGGTGGCATGAGGTTCTTGTTCTCGATATGCTTGAGGACAGCTGCCACATACTCCTTGCAGTCCTCTTCTTTGCGGGCAAAGTAGCTGAGAGCCTGTTCCCACAGGGAGGGCTCCTGCTCCCCGTGGCGCTCACACACGGCGATCACCTGCCGGTACTGCTCATGCTGCATGTGGTAGTGCATAATCTGCTGAAAGCTGGGGCCGGAGCAAGAACACACCTCAGTGGCTGTCCCTGGAGACTTGGTTGGATCCCCTCCCCGTGCCCTGGAAGTCCCCACATTCTTACAGCTTCCCCTGCTCATAGAGGTACAGGACACCATCCTGGAAGTCATGCATCTGGCAGAGGACCAGGGCCTTGTCGAAGACATTAGAGAAGCGCCCACTTCTCAGCAGGGAGATGGCCTCTGCGTGCAGCTTCTCTTTGACCTTGGGAAGAAGGAGGGTAGAGCTGCTGGGCATAGGGAAAAATCACAAGTCAACTATCTCTTTCCCTCAGTCCAATTTCTTCTTCACTGAGGATCATTTAGCCCCTAAAGATCATCTAGCTCCCAAGGGTAGGGTGTTACTAGTCTTTCCTAAGGAATGCACCAGAAGGCAGCCACAAGTAAGAACTGTCTTTTCTCCAGCATTTCCTGTAGCTC